CTAATCGGAAGGAGTGCTGAACCGAGATGGTCAAGCTCACGACTTTAAACGAGCCTTTATCGGGAGAGAATCTGATTCTATCCTTGTATATAAAGTGTGTTTTATTTTATGTTTTATGTAAATTTTTATTTTTGTTTAAAAAGCAGGGAGTTGCACAAACGCAAGAGAACTTGAATTGAGAGAAGCAAAACGAACACATCCGACGAAGAAAGGTCCATTAGTTAAGAACTTCTTCTCCACTCCATTTTCCATGCATTATATCCATCATCGATAGTCGTAGTATTTTATGATAATATGTCTGTATATATAGATTAAAAAAAAAGGAAAACAAAAAGTTTTTGAATTTATAGCATCGAATTAATGTGAAACATTTTTTTAAGCTGTCTTAGGAATTCCTATGTTTAAAACAAATTGTCAAGGATATTCGAATTTGGTAGGTCGATCTTGTGATTAAGCTAGTTAAAATGTGGGGTAGATTGATATTCAGAACAATGGAAAGATTCCAACCGTCTTAGTCAAGTGTCCATATTTCTAAAAATCGTGTTGATCATTTTAGCGCATTAAAGAATAGAAAATTCTATTGATATGTCCTGACACTCCACTGTCTTTATCTCGTTAATGAACATCATTCGGGGACATGAGTGCCAAAAGGCTCGGGTCTAAGTTGTGGGTCGAGTAACTTCAAAAAAAAAAGAAAAAAAAAACTGCTCGACAACTTCAACGTCCTAGAAGTTCAGGATATCTTTTTTCGCGAGAAAGATTTTTTCTCAATAGAGTAGCAAAAGAATTTTTTTTATGAGAACACGATATGAGAAATGTACTTGACAAGAAAGTTAAGGGTCTGGAAGGGTTCTGAGTAACGATGTACATCTCATTGCTAACTAGATTCGTCATAAAGATTGAAATACCATATTAGGATGACTTTGATTTTGTTCGCAGCTAAAATCATGTTCAACTTTAATTTGATTCTATGATTCATTTTTGATAGTTTAGTTTTTACTTATCAATCTGTCGGAGGGTTAGTTTGCTCGAGGACGAGCAAAACGCTAAGTTTGGGGGTGTTTGATAACATGTAAATAACATTATATTTTAATTTAAGATATCTATCGAGTTTCACGTTATTTATACATTAATAGATATCATTTGTACAGTTTTACTTCGATTTCGTTGTTTATATTGTTTTGCAGGAAAATTGGAGATTTGAGTTTAAACGACGCAATTTCAAGGAAATCGAATGGAAAACAAATGAGTACAAAATTGGTCTGGTTTAATAAAACAAAAACAAAAAAACACAAGATCGCGCGATCGTTGTTACGATCGCACAATCGAACATATACATAATACACGATATAATAATATATGTTAGTGAATATAATATATATATATATGTTAGTGGAAATATATATAATAATATATATGTTAGTGGATATATATAATATTATAATATATATATGTTAGCGGATGTATATATATTATTATATAAATATGTGTATATGTGTACGTTATTTATATTTGCATATTATATATATATATATCCGTATATATATTAGATTTATGTATGGATATGTTTTTATATGTATAATAGATATATACATCTAATACATGTATGTATATGTGTATTATGTATAATATATATGTATATAATATATTGTAATAATAGTAGTAACTCAACGATCGAGCAATTGTTATTCACAATCGCACGATTGTTTTTAACCTCCACCGGACCCACGTATTCACAAATGGCCAAACAAGAGTGCACAATTGTTTTATCGGCCGACAAAAAAAACAGACTTTCCTTGATTTGCGCTGAGCTAAAAGAAAGGAGACAACGATGTTCACTCGAGCTGGCATTCATTAAAAGGAGAAGTAGAGGATAGAGCCAAGAGAGCTTCGACAGCTCTCGACAGAGAGCTTCACCGAAGAGAGGAGCTGCAGGTCCGACCCAAGCGTCGCACGGAGGTTCCAGAGGAGAAGAAGGAGATGAGGAGGAAGACCACGCTGCCCATAATTCCTAAGCCTCTCTAACTCTCTCTATCTATTCTTTCTCTGGGATTTTTCCGTGCGATATCTTGTTATTCTCTCTGGTTGTGTTTGTGTGTTGAACTCCCGTAATGAGGTTTTGAATTTAAATTTGTATT